AGACAAAAATTGTTTAAATTTTGTTGCCTTTAGTTATTTTCGCAATATTAATCCGCCAAATGTTTTGGTAAATTTAGATTTTCTCTTACTATGACACTAAATTTTTGGAAAAATTTTGACTTAGGCAAGGTTTAAATAACGTTTCAATATTTTGTAAATAGCAGTAGTAAAGCTAATGATTTTACGACTTATAAAGCAAAAATTCTGTAATTTTGCACAATTTTCTAATTGATTTCTATTTTATCACTTTTTGAAACCTTATAATTTTCAAACATTGATAGTTTTTTTTTCAAATAGAACGCCCTCTCTTTTTTTGTTCTGTAACTAACAACTTTAAATATAAAAAATATTGAACAAAAACATTTGTAAATTCCGCTTCTGAATTTCATTGGGTTATTTTGTTTACTATGAGATGAAAATTGAATTTTATTTTGTCGATTGGCCAAGTTTCAAAGGTGCCCCGCCCACCCACCCCGTTTTTTTAATCGCTCATTTCATTGGATGAAAAATCGAAAATTCAAAAAATCTAAACCTCGAAAAATCGAAAAATTCATGAAACGAAATATTGAAAAATCCAAAAACTTAAACATCGAAAAATTTAAATATCAAACCCCTGAAAAATTAAAGCATTGAAAAACCAAAAAATTGAAGAATTGAAAAACTGAATCAAGAATTCGAGAAATCCAAACATTATAAGTCAAAAAATCGAGAGATGGGAAAATCATTAAACTGAAAAGTCCTAAAAAAATAAAAACGAAAATTCGAAAAATTGTTATATCTAAACACTGAACAAAAAAGAAATAGAATAAAAAATAGAATAATATGCAGGAGTACAGGTGTTCTGTTTGAATAAACTGAAATATCCATATTTCAAATTTATATGTTTTTTTTTTATAAGAAATCTCAATCTTTATTTATCTTTCCCAATTTTTTTTTACAATCTACGATTAAAAAAAATGTCATAGTGGCCCCGCCCACCCACCCCGGTTTTTTTTTAATCGCTCATTTCATTGGACGAAAAGTTGAGTTTATATTGACGAACAATGGAATCTAAAGTAAAACTAACCCCACCTTCTAATTTCATTGGCTTATTGTATTTACCCCCAGATGAAGATTCAATTTTATTTTGTCAAGTGGTCCAATCTTGAATTATTAAAAAAATACTTCAGTGGCCCCGCCCACCCACCCTGTTTTCTTTTTAATTACTCAATTTATTGGACGAAAAATGGATTTTATATTCATACACAGTGGAGCAAAAATTGTAGATATATAGGGTGTTTAAAATTGAAAAAACGGAAAATTGAAGCATGGACCAATTGAATAACAATAAAACTGAAATATCGGAAAATTGAGAAATGGAAAAATCAAAGAACCGAAGAATCTAAAGCCGAGAAGTCGAAAAAACGAAAGATCGAGAAATTGAAAATCAAACAACTGAAAAATCTAAAATTTAGAAATTGGGAAATTGAAAAATCAAGAAAGTAAAAAATGGAAAAGTCGAAAAATTGAAGAATCAAAATATTGAAAAATTCCAAAACTAAAACATCGAATTGAAAAACTCGAGAAATTGGAAAATCAAAAAGTCGAAGAATCAAAAAACCGATTAACCGAAAAACTGAGAGAAAATAGAAACTGTAGAAACATCAAAAATTGAAAAATTTAAAAATCGAAAAATTGAAGAATTGATAAATTGAATGATAGCAAAATTGAATTATCCGACAATTGAAAAATCGAAAAATCGAAAACCGAAAAATCTAAAAGCGAGAAGTCGAAAAATTCAAAGATCAAGAAATCGAAACTTCAAAAAACAGAAACACCTAAAATTTTAAAATTGAAAAATAGAAATATGGAAGAGCTGAGCTCGAGAAATCGAAAAATTTGAAATTTTAAAAATTCTAAATTAAAATATGCAAAAATTAAAGATCAAATAATTGAAAAATCGGAAAAGTAAAAAATTGAATATTTGAAAAATCTAAAAGTCGAAAAATCAAAAATTGATGAAACCAGATATTGAAAAATCCTAAAACTGAAATATCGAAAAATTGAAAAATCGAGGAAAAATTGAAGATTCAAATAATGACAAAACTGAAACAATTGAGATATCGAAAAACCGAAAAGTCGAGAAATCGAAACATTGAAATAGCGAAAAATGGGTAAATCAAAAAGTCGAAAAGTTAAAAAATCGAAAAATCGAAAAATCAAAAAATCGATTATTCGAAAAATTGAGAAATCGAAAATCGAAAAATTGAAGAATTGACAAAACTGAAATACCCGAAAAGCGAGAACTCGAAAAATTGGAAGCTCAAGAAATTGAAACTTCAAAAAACTGAAATATCTACAATTTTAAAATTAAAAAATAGAAATATGGAAAAACTGAAATCGACATGTAAAATTTTAAAAATTGAAAAATTAAAATATCCAAAAATTAAAGATCGAAAAATTGAAAAATCGGAAAATCTAAAGTCGAAAAATAGAAAAGTTGATGAAACGAAATATTGAAAAATTCCGAAACTGAAATATCGAAAAACTGAAAAATCAAAGAAACATTGAAGATTCAAAAAATGGTACAATGACAAAACTGAAACATCGAAAAATTGAGAGATCGAAAAATCGAAGTCGAGAAATCGAAACATTGAAATGGCGAGAAATGGGTAAATCAAAAAGTCGAAAAGTTGAAAATCTAAAAATCGAAAAATTAAAAAATCGATTACTCGAAAAATTGAGAAATCGAAAATTCGAAAATTTAGGAACATCAAAAATCTAAAAATTGAAGAATTGACAAAACTGAAATAGCCGAAAAGCGAGAACTCGAAAAATCGAAAGATCAAGAAACCGAAACTTTAGAAATTGAAAAATTGAAATATCCAAAAATTAAAAAATCGGAAAAGTCGACAAATCTAAAAATTGATGAAACAGAATATTTAAAAAAAAAATTTAAAGTTGAAATATCGAAACATTCAAAAATTGAAGAAAAATTGAAGAATGAAAAATTGTAAAATAACAAAACTGAAACATCGAAAAATCGAAAAGTCGAGAAATCGAAAAATTTAAGAATTGAAAAATCGAAGAATGGGTATACTGAAAAACCTTAAAACAAACATCGAAAAATTGAAAAATGGAGAAACACAAAAATTAAAAAATTGAAAATTTGGAAAATCGAAAAATTTAATATCAAAAACATGAAAAATTATAGCACTGAAATATCAAAAAATTGAATAATTGAAAAACTAAATCGAGAAGTCAAGAAATCGAAACATTGATAAGTCCTAAATCTGAAATTCGAAAAAATTGAAAAATCGAGAAAACGAAAATTCGAAAAATTGTTATATCTAAATACTGAAGAAAAAAGAAACAAGAAAAAAAAATAGAATAACATGCAGTAATACATGTGTTCTGTTTGAATAAACTGAAATATCCAAATTTCGAAATTATAATAATTACGTATTTTCTTTTATAACAAAACTTGTATCTTTATTTATCTATCCACAAAATATGGTAATAAAAATTTAATTTTTTTGACAATCTACGATTAAAAAAACGTCAAAGTGGCCCCACCCACCCACCCGATTTTCGACTTGATCACTCATTTTATTGGACCAAAAGTGGATTTTATATTCATGAACAGTGGAAAAAAAATGGTAAATACATAGTGTTTCATTTAAAAAAAAACACACAGAGAGAGGCTAACACCTGTTGTGTCCAAGGAACAGTGATTTTTTAGTTTTAGACTTGACTCACACTGTATACATTCATTTCAGGCAATGGAAAATAATAATTAAGCATTTTTGACGAACGAAATATTTTTTAAAAAATTTAATTTTTATACTTTTGACGTTACCAACTGTGGAATATTTTGTTTCAAGGGAGTTTCGATTTTTATATAAATTATCTTAGTTGTGTTTCAGTTGAAAGATATTTATTTACAATACTAACAGCTGAAATATTTTCTAGAATTTGTTTTAAGTACGGTAACAACTATTATATGCCTAAAATTTTAAGACTTAAACTTGAATCTCTAAATTCTCGGTTGTATGTTTTTCCTCTACTCAGGTGGTAGTTTTGAAATGATTTTAGTTTTTATTCCAAAATTAACTAATTTGTTAAATATTGTTCTAAAAAATATCTCTACTTTATTAAATAACAAATAAATGTGACGTAATCAGAGTTTTTGTGGGGATGTATAGACAACTTTTGGTTAGATTTCTATGATCTACGCTATATTTTCAAAATATCTCTTTTTTCGTAAGAGATAAATTTTATTATACTTACATCTAGGGCGCATTTGTTTTTGAAAAAATTTTAAAGAATCTGGGGGAACTTGATCTTTTGTTAAAAAAAATAATAATAAAAAATTCTTGGAAGTGTTCTTGAAAAAATTGGAAAAACTCTGTTTCGTTTTTGAAAAAAAAAAAGAAAATATCTTGTACGCCCTGGTATTTCTCAATGTACTAAAAGTGTCAGCGATTTTCACTGTCAACCTGATGAGATTAATTAATTTTGTAACATTAGGTGTTCCTTAAAAATGTTTAAACGCTTTCAAACTTTCTTCTGCACTTTTTACGATCGAGACGTTTGTCAAATTTTACCAAAGGAACGCACTTCTCCTGCTCAAAAACTTTTGTTTTTATTTTCCAATCCTGCTGCACTTCGTCTCAGTTGTCGAAAACCCACTCCTCGCACTCCATTGTCCTCCCGTGTTAAATTGAGATCGCTTCGCTGTTGCGGAAGTCGAAGTTCCGGTGAGGCAAAACCGTCCATCTCAAACCGTATTGTCAAGCGAACTGCTCAAGAACACATTGCAACGCAAAACAATAGAACTGGATAAGTTCAGCAATTGTCGATTAAATTGCAGTTTCTCTCTCCATGCTCGGGATCGACATTTTCCATTATCCAACAAGACAATTACTCGCTCGGTCTTTATTACGACACTCGCAAGCGCCCCCATAAATAAAAATCCGCACAGTTTTGCGTCGCATTACGTTTCCATTTTGTTGTTGCAGATGAAAATAGAGATATAAACGGACATCCGGAGGATGACCTGAAAAGACAGCGATCGCAGTATAATGGAGACCAGCTTTATTCAAATGTAAGTAAATTGCTCTCATTAAAAGCGAATTAGTGCGAAATTGAATTAAAAAAGCGGCGTCCCACAAGCCGCTCGTTTCGGGCCTATGTTATCTTTGTCGCGTTTCAGCTGTGGTCGAGTAAGTGGAGCATCAAAGACGAGCACAAACTCCTCTCGGAGCTGGGAGGGGCAGGAACAACGACAGGACAAACGGGCTACTACGACACGCACGCAGGATTCCCGAGCGTGGGGGCGGCGAGTTCGGCGGCCGACATCTACGACACCATCAACACCATGAGCCAGGCGACGTCCCAGAACCTGTACACGCCGCCCCTGGCGGGGTCCCTAGGTAAGCAAAGCGGTTTTTTTTCGGTTTTTCTACTGGTGGTGGTGTCACCGACGAGTCCGACGAAATTAAGAATTAATATTTAATCCAGGGACCAGTTCATTAACTCCATTAGCACCTATCACTATGCATGAGATGAAACTAGAATCCACTAGGATAATGGACCCTGCAATGTCCCCCTATCACTCAGGTGAGATTTCAAAAATTCGTTGGTGGAGAGGGGTTCAAGTTCTTGCTAAATAGCACTATGACAACACGCCACTGTACTTGTAGCTTGCATGCTTTTACACTTAAATTCGCATGTTTTTTATGTTCTATTGTGTACGTTTCATTGCATCATTTGGCATTGAATCCTCTAATTAAACCATCTAGTTAAATATCTACAATCTGCCCTTCCTCTGTTCCCATACTTATTAGCTTTTTTGTATTTGCTGACATGTTTTGAGTGTGAGTTTCACAGTCATGACCTTCCCCGTGTTTGTTTATGCTAGAATGGTGTAGACACTATTTGCGAACACCCGGTGTGGGGCAATAATTGCGCGGTTGCCACCTGTTGGACTCAAAAAGGTCATTAACGGCATTTTTGAACATGGATTTATGCTCGCGACTACGAAGTAGTCTTGACATTTAAAATACTTATTATGAAAAAAAGTACCACAATTTTTTATAAAAATATATATATGAATTTGATTTCTTAAATTTGTTTCGTTTTTTGAAAATTTTGCTCTATAGTTTATGTGTAGAGGAACACGTCACGGCTATTTCCTAGACAGTACATTTTATAAAACAGAATCTTGCATAAATTTACAGTTATTTCCCAAATTAACGTACCTATAATCTTTTATGAGATTGTATCTTTTCATTTACTAACTTCACATGAGTTTGAACAATAGATGCAGTTTTAATTCGGACCAGAATTTTCCTTTTTTTTTGTTATGTTATTTATTTTTTACTTTAAGATAATTTATTACAACTGCCATTAAATAATTATCGAGAAATTGAACCCGAGAAAAAAACGTCTGATTCAAAATTATTGCTCTCTTTTTCTTTTTTTATTTAATTTTCACTCACACTCATATCGTGAGAACCAAATTTTTAATTTATTAATGGGTATATGTAACTTAGAATCGAAAAACTATGAGAAGAACATTAAATGATCACGCTTTTACGTCTACTGCGTCGTTTTGCGGATATGTTCTTCTCAAAGAATTTTCGCTCTATTACAAAATAAATATTTCTAAGAAGATAATCCTAAAGACATTTTGAATAAAATTTGTAATATTAGTATTCTCAAGTTACCCTTTCCCTTATTTTATAACCATTGTTACTTATTTTTTAAATTCCGATGCGACGTTGCCGAATTTTCTTGAACTTTTTAGCAATAAAAGGATTTGCAAAAAAATAATTTTATTTTTTAGATCTGTGTTGCAATATTTTAAGGAGAGATAAACTGAGGTACGCAGTTTATTGTGGTGTCCATTTAATAACATTCCAATATACAGGGTGTTTATAAAAAAGTCTAAAACGTTGCAATTTACAAATGTCGCTATTTCAGTTTTTTCTTGTTATTTCTTTCGATATGTCGGTGTCTCTTAAAAGTTGAAAATTGTAGGTAATAATTTATATATATTTCTTTATTTATTTTTTATGCATTAAAAACGGAACACTCAGTATAGCTGAAAATAATTTGTCTTCAAACAGCCGTACAACTTTGGCCTTTAATTTTTTTCTTTTTCAAATAATTAATGAGAACTTTGTGATTTACCCTGTATAACAAAATTAATACGATTATTTTAGTAACTAAATACAATAAAAAAATCAAAAAATAAATCAGTCAACCATAAAAATTACAAATACAGTGAAAATTTGAAACATACATCAAGAAAATTCGATTTTTTCCTCTGCAGAATCATTTTTAGATAATTTTTGGAAACAAAATCTTGATTTTTCTAATGGACAAGATTTGAATCATGTTCAAGTTTTATATCTATTTTGCATTTTTTTCTTAATATACAGAGTGTTCTTTGAACAACACGCTATTCAAAAACATGTTTTTAATTTCTTGTAACGAAATAAGGATTATGCAGTTAAGCTCCACCCCCTCGATTCACGGCGAATAAAAAAAAATCATCACAATTGAGACAGGGCGGGTGGGCGGGCTTACTTTTTTGTTCTTTATTTTAAGGTGTCTAGATTTCTTTTTGCCACATGAAACTCAAAACATGTTTAAAATAATTTATATAAGGAAATATCCGCCCTATTTCCTTGCAAAAATGTACCATTTTAACCATGTTCTAAGTTTCTTGTTGTGAAAAGATGGCCCGATCTCAATTGTAATGATTTTTCTTATTCGTCGTGAGCCGAGAAGGTGGAGCTCAACTGCAAAATCCTCATTTCTCTACGAGAAATTAAAAATAAAACCGAAAGATTAGGCCCCAACCATACTTTCCGCGACCTCAATTCTCAATTGTGTTGAATTTTTGATTCGTTGCCAGAGCGAGGGGCGGGGCTTAACTGCAAAATCCATATTTGTCTACAACAATTTACCATTTTAAAAATGTTTTAAGCTTCTTGTTCTGAAAAGACGACTACGTATATTAAGAAAAAACGTAAAATATTTGGCCCGCCCACCAGCCCTTTCTCAATTGTGCAATTCTTTATGGAACACGATACTGAAAAACATGTTGTAAAGAAATAAGTGTTTTGCAGTTAAGCTCCGCCCTCTTGGTTCACGGCGAATAGAAAAAAACATTACAATTGAGATCGGGCGGGTGGGCGGGGCTACATTTTGCCTTTTTTTCTTAAGATATGTAGATTTATTTCGGCAACAAGAAACTTAAAACTTGTCCAAAATGGTAAGTTTGTATAGGGAAATTTCGATTTTGCAATTACGCTCCACCCCTCGATCTGACAACGAATGAAAAATTCATCACGATTGAGATTGCGACGGATGGGTGGGGCTTCTCTTTTGGTTTCCTTTTTTAATTAATACATTTAGTTTTCTTTACACAACACGATTACTTAAGAAGATATTTCACTTGGTAGTTTCTCGTAGCAAAATAAGAATTAGAATCTTCATTTTTGGCTTGTCTAGATTTAGAATCGCCTTCAAATTTTGCATATATTATTCCTTCTTTAGAAGTATCTGTACCTCTATATGCTTCCTTAGAAATAAAAGCTTCATAATGATTAATATGATTCCGTAGAAATAAAACCTTCACAATGATTAGACAAATTTTGGTTAGCGTTTTACCATCTACATGATTTTCCTAGTATACATACAAAATCTGACAACAATCGGTCCAGTAGTTTCGGAGATTTCGTGTCTAATAAAAATCAACAAAGACGACAGACAGACGGACACGGGAAATCTTAACCTACGCTTAGAAAATACGAATTGAAAAATCCAGAAACAGAAAATTGGAGAAATTCAGAAAATCAAAAATTGAGAATTGAATTAAACATTTGAAAATCGAGATTTCAAAAATCGAAAAATCCAAGAATCGAAATATAGAAAAAACGAAATAGTTTTTCGCTTGGATAAATTTAGAATCTCCCACAAATGTTACATCTGTTACTTTTTCTTTCGAAACATTTGTGGTTGAAAACGATTTTCCAGAAATAAAATCTTAATTTTTCACTCGGCTAGGTTTAGAATTTCCTTCAAGTTTTACCTGTATTCTTCTTTCTTTCTAAACATTTGTAGTCATAGAAGATTTTTCAGAAATAAAATATTCTCTTTTCATTTGGCTAGATGTAGAATCCTCTTCAAGTTTTACATCTATTGTTCTTTCTTTTGGAATATTTGTAGTCATAGAAGATTTTTCAAAAATCTTCTTTTTTCATTTAGCTAGCTGTAGAATCTTCTTCAAATTTTACATATACTATTCTTTCTTTGGACACATCTGTGCTTCAAGATAGTTCTCTGGAAATAAGTCTTCATCTTTCACTTGGATGGGTTTATCTATCACGCTTTTTTTGAAATATTTGTAGTTTTTGATGACTTTTTAGAAAGAAAATCTTCATTTTTAATTAAACTAGATTTAGAATTCCCTTCAAGTTTTACATCTATTATTCTTTCCTTGGGCCCATCTGTGCCTTTTGATGGTTCATTAGAAACAAAATCTTCATCTTTACTTGGCTAAGATCAGAATTTCTTTCAAATTTTACATCTATTGTCCTTTTTTTTGAAACATTTTTGGTTTTAGATGTCTTTTCAAAAATAAAACCCTAAATTTTTAAAGATTTAGAATTTCCTTCAAGTTTTACATCTATTATTCTTTCCTTGGGCCCATCTGTGCCTTTTGATGTTTTTTTAGAAATAAAATCTTCATCTTTACTTGGCTAAGATCAGAATTTCTTTTAAATTTTATATCTATTGTCCTTTCTTTTGAAACATTTTTGGTTTTAGATGTCTTTTCAAAAATAAAACCCTAAATTTTTAAAGATTTAGAATTTCCTTCAAGTTTTACATCTAGCATTCTTTCCTTGGGCCCATCTGTGCCTTTTGATGGTTCTTTAGAAATAAAATTTTCATCTTTACTTGGCGAAGATCAGAATTTCTTTCAAATTTTACATCTATTGTCCTTTCTTTTGAAACATTTTTGGTTTTAGATGTCTTTACAAAAATAAAACCCTAAATTTTTAAAGATTTAGAATTTCCTTCAAGTTTTACATCTATTATTCTTTTTTTGGACACATCTGTGCCTTTTCAAATAAAATATTCATCTATCGCTTGGCTAGGAATAGAATTTCTTTCAAATTTTGCATCTATTGTCCCTTTTTTTTTAAACACTTGTGGTTTTAGATGTCTTTTCATAAATAAAACCTTCCTTTTTAATTTGACTAAATTGAGAATTTCTTTCAAGTTTTACGTCTATTATTCTTTCTTTCGAAAGATTTGAAGTCGTAGATGTTTCAAAAATAAAATCTTCTTTATCATTTGGCTAAATGTAGAATCTTCTTCAAGTTTTACATCTGTTATTCTTTTTTTAGACACATCTATGCCTTTAGACGGTTCTTTGGAAATAAAATCTTGCTCTTTCACTTGGCTAAGTTTAGAATCACCTTCAAGTTTTTCAATTTTTTAGAAGATTGTTTCAAAGTAACATTCTAATTTTTTTCTGCTATAATTTTTTCTTCGGGTTCTGTCAAAAACAAAGAAGTATTTTCAAATTTTACTTTTACTGTTCTCTTTGGAATCTTGTAGCTGTACAGATTCTTCTGTAGAAGGACTTTGTAACGAATTTTTGGAAAACTTATCGTTTTCTGGAACAGGTTTAGTTCCGTTTTAAACTCTTCTGGTCTTCTAAATGACAATTTAATTTCATTTTCAAAGCAGATTTTCTTCACGTGACTCTCTACTTTCAAGTTTTCGTTCGTTCGAAATTTCTGATTGTTTGGATTCTTCCAGAGAATCAGTTTCTCGCGTTTTTTTTAAATCGTAGCATCATATTTCTGCTGTGCTTCTATTACTCGTACCTTCGCAACTCATGATTATGAAAATATTATATTAAGTATTTTGTTGGTAATAAAAAAAATTGTGGACCGTTTTGTGAATGTACCAATATGTAAACAAAAAATATAATTTTAACTCATCAATTAGCCGTAAATCGACCATATGTTTACCAATTGCTCGTTAACGACCTTTCACGCTAGGTACCGTCCAGCTAACAGTTTCAAAACCCACTAACGCCGCTCCAACTCCACTTTCTCCACGCATGCCGCCGCTCTTCCGCCTGCACCGCAACATTTTGACGATTTTTGTTTTTGACATGTTTTTGTTCGAGTGTGCTAATTTTTTGTTATTGCATGGTAGCCGAGACTAGCTCACCGTACAGTGGCGTGGTCGGTTTGGGGGCAGTTGTAGACGGGGCTTCCCCTGGTTTACCACTCGCCTTACCATCCGAACCCGGAAGCCAGCCGACGTCGCATACAGGCTCGCCTGATCCCGCCGCATTGACAGTACTCCAGCCATCTAATGGCTCCAATCAACACTACTCCACCATGTTGCCTAGCTTTGGCTACTCCACAGGTATAAACTGCGAACACCGCCATTCGTACTGTTAAGAAAGACTCAATACTTAAATTTGTAAAAGTACGATTACCAGAATGCGTGAGTGAAATTCGTTCTTCTTCTAGGTACGACTGTGGTACCGGGCACCGACTACGCGTACAGTACGGCCTACAGTCAGTACGGCACCGCGTACGGCACCTACGGCTACGGAAGTGCTTCCAGCGGGTTACTCAGTAAGTAAACAGTGAGTATTGTTACCTGACAAGTTTTAAAAGTACTTTTACGAAAAAGAGAAGTACTGGTTTCTTTTCCTTGATAAGATAACACAGCAACAATTTTCCATTTTACATTTATGAAAACGGTTTTTTTGCAATCTGTTTAGATGATGATTGATTGACCATTGTGAGGCCTCTTATTATTCATTGTTCTTTCCAGATAACATCGCTGTATTCTTCGTTGTATCTGGTTTCTGCCTTTGCAGATACCATGCGTGTACTTAAGAGAATAATGACAATTTAATCTGGTAACATGTATCACTTTCCAAACACCAAGTGCTAATTGAGCTGGTTGTCAACAGTTCGTTCTTTAGTGGGTTAAAATGTAAATTACATGACAGAATGTCTATTAACTCGCTGATATTTCTAGAACGCTAATGATAATAAAAGTAAAATTGAAAGCTTCCTTGTTGTTATTTTACGGAGTACTGTTATTACGCTGCTACGTAAATATTTAATTATGAGTACTGTTTCCATGATGAATGTGTGTCACACATTTTTTCCTTTCGGACTAATAAAATTATATAATGGATTTAAGAATAAGAAAAACTGTAATCATGTACGAAAAAAGAGTCGCGACAATGTTGTCGAAAGTTACACGATTTTGTAATGATTATGAATTAATAGCGCAGTATGTACTTAATTTTTTTAATTTACAACTCATATTTAAATTTCTAATTTTTTTCCATTAAGTAACTAATTTCATAGTTGCCACCAGAAGTACTTTCAGATTCATAATGAGGCCGAAAAAGGGTCCAAAATCGGGTTATGCACTAATTGTGCCGACTCTCAGAAAAACTACGCATACTACAAGTAAACTATCAAAAACCAAATAAAACCTAACAAAACTAAAAGTTTTATTAAATTTCGGGTTTCAAGAGTTTCACACATTGGAAAAATTGACAAAATTATAAATTAAAACGACGTCACGAAGTGTTTGGAAGGGATGACTTCTCTAAAATCAGTTCGTGGGCTAATTGTGCCGCCTGTTGGAAAAACTACGTATACTACAAATTACAAGTAAAAACGTGCTCTAAAAAAATAGTAAAATATGATAAAACGAATTGCTACATAAAGTTTGTTTATTCTTTAAATGAATTTTAATTTAAAATTTGTAGTCTATTTTACAGAAAACAATTATTATTTTTTAAATTTTAAGTAATACAACTAAACAGTTTCTCTAAAATCAGCTTGCGTTTGCCGCCTCTTTCAAAAATTACATATACTATAAATAAAAACAGGCTCCTAAAACAATTAAATTCAGACGCGATTAAAATATTTGTAGAAATAAAAATTGTGAAAAACAAATACCTACATCAATTTTGTTTATTTTTTAATGATTTTTAATTTAAAAAGTTATGATCTATTTTGGAGAAAGCAATTATTAATTTAAAAATTATATTGATTACAATTATTATTTTATTATTATCATCTTTATTGCATTTTACTGTTCGAAAACTAACAATTTAACGAAATTTTGGGTTTAGATAATTTCGGGTTTTAAAAGTTTCACATTTATTGGAAAATTTTTACAAAACTGTAAACACAAGTTCATCCCTTTTCTGTTGTTGTAAAAATTGGTTAAGCTTACTTAAATAGAACTTCCCTCGTTCCTATAACAAACGTCGACGTCAAATTGAAGCTGTTTTTTTTTCAAATCATACCAAAATTAAAATAATGTTTCGAATATTTGTTAAATGTGGTTAAAATACACTCTCATTGATTGTCAACGTCGAAGTTACATCGAAAAACACCGCTTCCCTAAAATCACTTTGCGTAGTAATTGCGCCGCCTCTTTGAAAAACGGCCTATACTACAAATATACACCGGCTCTTAAAAAAAAACTAAATTCAGGTGCTATCAAAATATTTGATACAAAATCAAAATTATAAGAAAACAAATATTTTTTTTATGAATTTTAATTTAGTATTAACTTTAAAAGAAAACTAAAAATTTGACCAAATTTTCGATGTAGATTACTTCGGGTTTTAAAATTTTCACACATTTGGAAAAAATTTACAGAATTAAAAATACAAAATCAGCACGTTTATGATATTCTTAGAAAATTATTTAAACTTATATAAATAGAACTCACCTCGCTTCTCAAGCAAAATATCATAGGTACACCTCCTGGAGTTTATATTGTTTTTTTTTTTTTAATTATATTAAATTAAAAATAATATTTTGAATTTTTGTTAAAATCGCTCATCAATAATAATTTTCACATTCACAGTTAGGCCGGAAAACAACGCTTCTCTAAAATCAGCTTACGTAGTAATTGTGCTGCCTTTTTGAAAAACGACGTATACTAGAATTAAATATGGGCTCTTAATAAAACCTAAATTTAAGCACTATAAAATATTTGTCACAAAGTCAAAATTATCAGAAATCAAAGAGCTACCTTTTTATGAATTTTAATTTAAAAGTTGTGTCTGTTTTGAACAAAATATTTTTATGATTAATTTAAAAAATTTAAATAATAAACTACTAACTACAATCAATATTTTAGCAACCTTTATTGTATTTTACAGTTAGAAAATTAAAAATTTGAATAAATTTTAGGTATAAATAACTGTGTTGTAAAAGTTTCACACATTTTGAAAAAAAAATCGGTAAATTAAAAAGACAAAATCACCACATTTATGATATATTGGAAAGTGGTTGAAATTTATTTAAATAGAACTTACCTCGCTCCTCGAGCAAAATATCGCGTGAACTCTTACCCCCGACATCCAGATTTTTGGGAAAAACTTAAACTTCGTGTTCAGTTTTTACCCTTGATATTCAAATTTTTGAAAAAAATAAATTTTCATTCATTTCATTATGACCTGATAAAATAAATCACTGAAATGGAGGCAGGGCGGGTGGGCGGGGCTAATTATGTTATTGTGTCGAGTGAGAGTGGAAACTAATAGAATCTAGGATGTGAAAAAAGTCAAAAAAGCCCTAAATGTAACTATTTTCTTATACTAAGTATTTGCTATAAAATTTGTAGTGCAAAAATCAATTTTATCTTATCAAATACTAGCCCCGCCCACCCACCCTTTATTTTCTTAGAGGCTATTTGATTTGCTAAATCAGTCTTATCTTATCAAATACTAGGCCCGCCCACCCGCCCTCTATTTTCTTAGGGGTTATTTGATTTGCCAAATCAGTCTTATCTTATCAAATACTAACCCCGCCCACCCACCCTCTGTTCTCTTAGATGGTATGTCATTTGCCAAAATCAGTCTTATCTACTGGAAGGCATCTTTTTTTTCAAATTATACAAAAATACAAATTTCGTATTTTTGTTAAACGCAGTTAAAAGACATTCATCAGTAGTAATTTTAAAATACGGAAAAAACGGAAAACACAGCTTCTAAAATCAACTACGTAGTAATTGTGCCGCCTCTTTGAAAAACTACGTATACTACACATAAATCGGGCTCTTAAAAAAACGAAATTCAAGCGCTATCAAAATATTTGCTACAAAATCAAAACTATGAGAAAATAATTTGTTACATTTTTTTATGAATCTGTATTTAAAAGTTGGGGTTTGCTGTGGAGAAAACAATTTTATTATTAATTTAAAAATTTTTGAAATACTAAAAAAATATTCACTGACTGCAATAATTATTTTAGCAACCTTGATTGCATTTGACACTTAAAAAAACTAAAAATTTGACTAAATTATATTGGTTTTTTTTTCAAATTATACCAAAATAAAAATAATATTACTAATTTTTGTTCAACACATTTCCAAAAAATTCGCATTCAAAATTAGGCCGAGAAAGGTCGCTACACTAAAATCAGGTTGGGTAGTAATTGTGCCGCCTCTTAAAAGAACTACGTATACTAAACGTAAAAACTAGTGCCCAAAAATCCTATAGAAAGTTTTGGTAATTTTTTTATAAATGTTAATACAATTTCAAGTGAAAGTTACTTAGCGAGATTTTGAGATGACATCATTAGTTTTTTAGAGGGGATGAACAGATAAATTCTGATCATTTATTTGCCAGGCTCACGAAAATGGAAATCTATTTTTTCCAATTGTTGTAAAATTGAACTTGGCTTTTTTTATACCAAAATGGCATTTTCAGTTAAAAAAATCTAAAATGATTTGAAATTTTAAATTACAAAGATAAATAACGAAAAAATTAACAAAACTTGTATTAAAAAAAGAGAAATTATTATTTCCCCTAGTTACTAGATGGCGCCACTAATCGAGGTATGGCAGACAACAGAGTCCGAATATTTTTAGTATCCCACACTACGCAAAATTCAAGCTTTTACAACTGTCAAAAAAAAGTCATAAATACGGTAGATTTCAATCAAATTAATTCTTCATTCGACTGAAAGTTATTGTGTTAGATGTCGCCCATTTTGCAAAAAATCCTGTAGTAGAATTTGGTTAAATCTTGGCCATTTTCCCTTCAAAAAATGGAACCAACTATATTTTAAAAATAACGTGAGCACGTTTTAATTGTCGTTTTTTTTTTGTAGATTCTCCGTACTACTATACAAACAACGACGCCCCTGTGAACAACCACTTGAACTGCACGAGTTCGACCGAGACGAGTGAACAGAACAGCCGCTCCCCTCTAGCGGCGACTAGAGCAAATTCGTTGGCGTCAGCCAATTCGCCAACCGAAAGCGGAAGTGCGTGTCTCAAAGCAGAAAGCATCTACACCCACGATTTGAACCTAGGCTAGATGTATAGTTCCCCCAGTCGGCAAGCCGGCAAAAACAAAAGAATCGGAACAATCCATGTCTTACCCAGTGTGAATGATCGGAAAGTGTATAAGTGTGTAGATATTTTAGTTTAATCTAGTTAGAGAAAAACGACTTAATGAGTTTGATTTGTTTTGTTTAGAGGCAAAAGTACCCTAAAACATGCAAATTACTATCGTAATGTACATTGGTCTCAGAATACTACGAAGGATGTTATTATTTATTGTGTAATCTTTTCACAAATGTTTTTTATTATTATTTCTACAATATAATATATTTTATATATTTAGCGAATAAGACACACCAAAGAGATGTTTTAAGGATTATGTTAATGTCTGTGCACTTTATCATATCATGGAGTAATGTGCAACAAATTGTGGTGAATGTGAGAGATTTATTGCACATTATCGTTGTGTATAGTTTATTTTATTAGATACCTACATGGATTAATTTGCACCGCCGTCAAGGATTGATTACCTGGCAGAATAACAAATCCCGATCAAAGTAAAATAGTAAAATACCAGTATCTGTCAACTAGTCAGAGAAGAACGTACTTACTCAGATGAAATTTTGTGTTCTCTGCAGTTAGAAATCGGCCGAATTTCATGCACGTTTTCCACGTTCTGAAAATTTCTGAGTACATTGACACCAATGAATTATGTAAAAATTTCGTTTCGTTTTGTGAATGGGCAAATCTGCATGAAATTGGGATTGATGCGCTTGATTAACCACAAAGTGATTAGTCAAGAGATGATTACGTAAAGTATTATTTTAAAAATGAAGTAATTTATTATATTTTGTAAAATGTGTAATAATATACCAAAGAGACAGCACACTTATCAACGCTGTTACGGTATTGTTAAGTATTGTATTGTAAAATGTGATAGGCCCACATATTTCAGGCCCCGTCTTGCCCTTAAACCAACCCTGTCACATTCACTCATAGTTGTAGGCAGTTTATATTTAGAAAAATAAATCAAATTATAAATTATATGACGCTTTTATTTCACCAATTCGAGACAAAGTCGCCTCGCTCAGAATCGACCAAAACAAAGAAAAAAAGAATAAATGAAATTACGAGGAATCATGAGAAAAAGTGAATGAGAAATAAAACCAAAAATATCTATTAGATTAAAGTAATTTACGACGTCTAGTTTTTCTGGCACTATTTTTGAAAAGAGGTAAAGTTGAATGAAACTATGACTTTTGAAAAATTACGGAAACTTTTTTTTTTATTTTGTAAACGACAAAAAGAGACAAAAAACAGAAACATGGACTCATTTTACATTCTCTTGGATATAAAAAAGAGGAAACGTAAGACATTTAAATGCAATGGAACACTTTGATGAATAAAAACAAATAAATAAATCCGTTAGTTATACTTTTTTCATTTGTGGTGTTTATTAAAACTCCTTGATCCAGACTTATACCCCTTGTATTTTTATTTATGGAACTACTTAAAAACATTAATGTACATTACTTGAGTGGAAAATAAAGAAGATTTGAAAAATTAAATAATTGGAAAACTTTCAACATTTGTAAGATGAATTAATAAAGTTTTTTTTGTAATTTTTTTCGAAAAGCTTTTATTGTCCTGTGTTTTCCCAACAAGCGTCTTTCCAAAAATATTACAAGGACAGAAAATGTTAATTGAACCTAAAGAACCACCCCCTAAATTGTTTCCGTATATTTAATAAACATCCTGTATATCATTGTGATCTGACTGGTAAATATTTAAGTATGCATGTAAATTATAAATGTTTGTCGGATGATTCAAACTGCTTCATTTTTGTAGTTTCGGTTTTTTTTTTTCGTTTTTTATTAATAAAAAATGCACAATGCATAAAAAATTAGATACATATATGAGTTATCAACAAAATGTTTTTAAATAAATTCACGTCAAATTCCTAGTTTTAAATATAATGAAAACTAAGCCCCTCAAAGTGAGTCCGATTCTAATTCCAAAAACCAAATTACCTCAACAACAAGAAAAATTGGTGTGAAGTTAATTAGGACAAATACAACTTCTTCGAAAAATAAAAATTTAATCATGCGAATTGTTTTTATTTTTTATAACAACTCTTACAAGTTAAAATAAACATATCTCTGAATTGTTAAAGTATAGGTAAAGAAGCACAAATAACATAATATATTTAAACCAGAATACCATCGGGAAAAATAGATTATTAGTACATGCTTAATTTCGATTGTTTATGTTTATACATCGAAAGAATGCGACGATTAAGCAAGCTGCTTCCTCAAAATGAAGCTACAATGGAGTAAAAAACTGAATATTATTTTGGATAAGTAGCTGTTATTATGGTAATTTTTATTTGACAATATTGCTGTACCCTCAAATTTTGGCAAAAAATAGGGTCAATCGTTTATAATTTGATCAATAAAAAAGTGATTATGGGGCCACCACACACCAGTGCTCTTATATAAGTGTATCCATTTGAAATTTTTCGAAAATTTGGATACCTCTAGACTAAAAAATCAAGGCGGATTCATTAACCACAAGTATAGGCATAAGTAGCATAAGTTAGTTTATATAAATTTAAAAGACGTTTAGTAAAACTTCTCAGTCTTATCCCTAGCAGGTCCGCCCTCTATTTTCTTAAAGGCATGTCTTTAGTCAAAATCAGTCTTACCTTACCAAGTACTAGCCCCGCCCACCTACCCCCTATTCTCTCAGAAGATATGTCATTTCCCAAAATAAGACTTATGTTAGCAAGTACTAGCCCCGCCCACCCGCCCTTTATTTTCTCAGAGGGTAGTGCTTGCTAGTCCTTGCTAAGATAAGTCTTATTTTGGCAAATCACATATCCTCTGAAAAAATACGGGCGGGTGGGCGGGGCTAGCACTTTCTCAGATATGACTGATTTTGGCAAACGCCATAGTTAAATTTAAAAGGTGTTAAATTGCATATTTCCATAGTAACGAGTTAAATTCCTAAATCTGATTGGATATTTATTTTTTAACAACTCAGTCATTAATTTTTCTGAGACACACTGTATAAGCAAATCAAAAAAAAATTATATACTAAGTGACATGGAAATCAAAGCACCCAGTAATAGTAAGAACATTTTAATAATTTTCTGTATACATGTATATTAGTGCAAAAAAAGCAAACGCAGTACTACTTGCCAAGATAAGACTGATTTTGGTAAATGACATAACTACAAAAATAAAAAAGGGTGGGTGGGCGGGGCTGGCAGCTATTTGCTAAAATAAGACTGATTTTGGTAAATGTCACTCTAAGAAAAAAAAAGGGTGGGTGGGCGTGGCTAGTACCTGTTACGATAATTAAGATAATCTCCGACACTACCGAAAAATAAAATTAAAAAAAAAACAATTGTTTTTTGTCCTTCGAACACTTCGAAAATTACCCAAGGGCATTTTTTTATGAAGTTAGATTTGTAGAAGTTATTTTCCATTTCTTGGAAAATTCCAACAATTTTACCAGAATTGATCAAACGAAAAAAATGTCAATTTTCGACGCACTATGAAACCAAATTTTTCGAAAATTTTAATACTTTCTGTTTTTCAAATAAGCTGTCGAGCCTTATATCCCAAAATTTTTTGATTACTTTTAAGCAATTTTTCAAAAATCTCAAATTGTCAATATCCCACCTCCACTGTATAATTTTTTTCAGCGCTTTTCGAGCATCAATCGGAAGTTACTCAAAGACATTTTCTTGTAGATTTCAACTGGTGCTTGTAGATTACAACTTTGGGCTTCATTTCATCAAAAATTCCAATAATTTATAGCAGGTACTAGCTTGGCAAATTATATACCCTCTAAGAAAAGAGAGGGTGGGCGGGCGGGGCTACTACCTAGCTAGGATAAGACTGATTTTGGCAAATGACATATCCTCTAAGAAAAGGGAGGGTGGGTGGGCGGGGCTAGTACCTGCTAAAGTAAGACTGATTTTGGCAAATGAGATATCTTCTAAGAAAAGAGAGTAGCAACTGCTAAGAAAAAACTGATTTTAGCAGGTACTATCCCCGTCCACCCGCCTTCTACTTTCTTAGAAGGATCTCATTTGCCAAAATCAGTCTTATCCTTCTTTATTATATAATGTGACTTTGAATACTCTTCGTTCGGAAATTTTCGATAATTCAGAAGTTCACCCGAACTACTAGCAAGACTACTTGAAAATTTTTCGTTTTCCGAACAATTCCGATGCCTGACGCAGAATTCCTAAAGACTTTTGGAGCCAAATGGAAGCAGAAATTTTTAATAAACTAAAAAACATACCCATAGAATTTTTTACATTTTGATAGTTGAACGTATGGTGTCGTTCTCTAAGTTTATGATGACCGATTTCGGTTTGTTTATAAGAGCATCCTCATATTTCATAGTGATTTTTTTGTCAGGTTGGCAACATATTTAAAATTTCATGCTGGTATACGGTATACTTGATTGTCAAAATGAAATTTATGGCACCAAGTCATCTTTTGAAAAATTTCCTTCAATTCGTTAATAATAACTCGGTATTTTACAACTGTTAAAAAATTTATCAAGGAGTATATTCGACTTAAAACATTTGGATTGTGTAATTTGAGGTTACGTTGAATGTATTTCCGGAGAATCTTTGTTCAACAGTGAGTTCAATTGTAAATTATTACATTAATGAAAATCTACTGAAATTAGGAGATCTGGAATTGTTTTAGGAATAAAACCAAACCGATCATCACGTTAATATTAATATTAACCATCCCATAAATTATAGAATTTTGTGAGCAAGTCAAAAGTAAATATTTTACTACACATGATTTTAAAATGCAGACTATCACCTCTTTCAAAATTGTTTGTCTATTAGAAGAACCGCCTTAAGCTGATATAAATTTACAAAAATTGAAGTTTTTTCATTTTAAGACTACTTGATTTTGAATTACTTAAAATTTTGCAGTTATTAGAAACAGTATTTTTAAATTTGAGCCGATTCAATCCATTTCACATGATTAAAGTAAGTGTGGTTAAAGTAAATAACGTAATGGTTTCAATCTTTGAAATTACGCATTTTTCAAGAAGTGCTACACAATGTGTACTTTCACATTCTTCTGTAAAAGCATTTTTTTTTACAAAAATCATAATTTAACTGAATTATTTTCTTTAATGGCATAAGAACGAGAATATCCTGGTTTTCTCTAGAATGTACATTAAAGTACATTAAAAAAATTGAACCATAACCCACGCTTTACATTGTTTCGTATTATGTGTTGAATGAACACCTATACTATTACAAAGATTAAACCACAAAAATTGAACTAATAATAAACAAAATCAAGGTGGATTCATAAACCACAAATATATGAGTATGTTATATCATAAAATTTAAATAGCTATTACTAGAGAGCGGATTTTATGAAATTTGCATATCTGTTATTTTTTGCATATAAGTCTTGATATTTAATATGTGAACGAATCATGCTAATTAAAAATGAATACAGCTATAAAAAAATTGCATATTTGCATATATTTGCCTTCTGCTGCATATTTCACCAAACGGGTGCATATTTTGCATTTTTATCAATTTTTGTACTAATTTGAAAAAAAAAATTATCGTCATTCTATCGGAATTTATCTAGAAAGACGAAATTTTATTAATCATATTGCAGATATTGTCCTGAGTTTAAAATAACTAGGAAAGGTTTGGGTTTTATGGTAGTTTGGAAACACCACTGGGTATTAAGCCATCCTTCCAGGTAAATTCGCGCCCTAATTACTTTTGGAAATACCGTTCATTCCCAAAATTTTTGTTCGTTGGTTAAGTGGTGGTCTAAGGGACGTTATACTATTATTTTTCATCGTGAGTTTGTATTGAAAGCAATTAAAGGGATACAGGTGAATCAATATGTCGAAGAGAACTCAAATTAATTTATGAATTAAACCTTTTCCTGAACTTATTCTTCAAGAACGAACTGTGTTTTGTCGCGCCTGCCCTAAACCGGTAAGTATTTTTACATCTGTGGACGTAGTACGCAGTTTTTCTATTTGCAAATACTTATACTTATTTTAGAATCACCGGAAAAACTTTTTGTTAGAATATTTCGAAAAAAATCTAAAAATAAATTGTTACCAAAATAGTAATTAAATAGTGGATTACTACTATTTTTTAATTTGTCCTATTTATATTTATTTTTTAGTATAAGAATAATATCTTTAAAAACGTGATCTATGTGTTAGTGAGATGTAATTAAACACTTTGCAATGTGATTTCTGTATTTTTTGTAATAAAACGTAAGCTCGGGAACCCTGTTTTTGTATTTTATAAATAAATTTAGTTCGCTTTTTTTTAATTTTTGGAGCATATGCATCTGCATATCTCTGCATATATTAAGAAAGTTACTGCATATTTGCATAAATTTGGTGCATATCATATGATCATATTTCTCAAAATTTTGGTGCATATTTTCCGCTCTCTAGCTATTACCATGCAAAATTTTGAGGCGACGTCATCAAATCGTTGGTGGGGACGATCAGACAAATTTTGGTTAGTGTTTTACAAGAAACAAATCTCAATTTAAAAACAGACGCGAATGCTTAGGGAAATATTATTTACACACGTCAAGTGACGTTTATTTAGGAACATTTTGAGGTGACGTCATCAATTTTTTGCAAGGGATGAACGGACAATTTTTTGTTAGTTACAAAGTAAGCAAACAAAGCATTCCGAAAATTTTCAAAAACCTGTTGCAATGTAAAAAATGTGATGCTCTAGAGAGTCACCGTTTCTTTGAACGAAACCAACAAGATCAAATATCTGCTCTGGAAACCAAAATTTTTTAGCTTTCTAATCGGCGTAAACAAATTGCAATCCTTTTAATCTAGAGCAGAAAGCGTTACGAACTCATTTAGTATTCCAATGAACCCTTAACGTAGCGAAGACAAACAAAAATTCCAAATCAAAATGAAATAGTTGCTTTTTTACCAAGAACTTATCACCAACCGCTAACAAAAAACAAGGACATTTCTATTTATTTGGAATACTCTCAGTCAACAAAAACTTCCAAACTAATTTCCAAATAACCACAAACTTATTACGAAAATATGAACATGACCGTAAACAACAAGGTGACGGGATATTGCAACAACAGTATAAAAAATTTGTATGGTCTTTATTAACATAAAATTTCAACAACATCATAACAATAACAATTTAATAACATATATTACATAATACTTAAAACTATCACAACAAAAACACTTTTTGTTATTACATGACTAATTTACTAATGAGTACCGGCAAATTCATCAAATTCCCGCTCAAACTCCGACTTTTCGATCATATACCTGGGTAGCTTAACCCCAAGTCTTTTACTATAAACCGGTTTGGTTTCAGCACTGAAAGCTCCTTCTTCAGCACCTACCACAAACTCAGCAGGAGTTTTCTTGTTTGGCTCTTCATCAAAATCTCTTTCTTTCTGAGGACTTTCGTTAGTGGCCGACCGTTCCGGCTCTCTGACTTTCTTCACGTTCTTCTTTGGGCTTCTTTTCGGGTTGTATTTAACCCTGGTTTCAAAGTCTTCGGAAGCGGCGGCTTCCATGGTAGCAGGAGCCGCTGCTGCTGGTACTACTGCTTGCGCTGGTACTACTGCTGGTGCTTCAACCGCTGCTTGTTGGTTCGCTACTTCAGTACCAGCGGGTACTTGCTCACCGGATTTGTTTTCGCCTTCAGGGGCTTTGATTTGTTTGACTTCGTGGTAGGCGAGGTGGCTTGCTTGGGGTTTGGACTCAGACACGTACATGCACTCTTCGTGCTGGATACCCTTCTTGTCCACACACAAGTAGCAAGTCATACCATTCTTTTGAGCTTTTTTGCAAGCGGAACGATCCTTTTGGGTGAATTCTGCTAATACTTCTTCTACGTCTTTTCTAGTGGTTTCGGCTGACGGGTCACTTGCTACTACTTGAGCTTGTTGGGACTCTTCGTGGTGGAATTCGGGGAAGAGTTTGAAGTGGTACTCATCTATATCTTTGTAGGGTTCGGAACTTCTGGGGGAATCCGCATCGTCTCCTTCTGCTTCAGCAGAATCGGGACTACCGTAGAGACTGGGTTCCAAGCCCCGGACTCCCGTTTTTTGTTCCTTGATGGTACTTTCAGCGAAGTGTTTGGGGATATCGTATGGGTCGTCACTAACGAGTTTCTTAGGGGGTCCTTGGGCACCAGGAATACCAGTGTTGAAACCTTCAATGGGTTTATACTGTTCCTTTTTTGAAGTTGGGTCTTCCTTAGAATCAGGGTTGTACTGTTCGGACAGTTTGAACTTGTCGTGACCTTCATAGTTAGCTTTGTACATTTCAGCAGGCTTGAAGTTGTCGAATTTGCTAAATTCAGCATTCTCATTACTTGCTAAAGTAACGGGTTTGAATTCTTTCGTTTCCGAACTAAAATCTTCTAATTTACCATATTTTGAGTTGTCGTTGTTTGGTAAAGTGACCGGTTTGAATTCGTTGGATTGGGACGCAAAGTCTTCAGCTTTTGCAAACTTGCTATTGTCGTTACTGGGTAAACTAAGCGCTTTGTACTCTTTGGAAGGATCAATTTCTTCCTTCTTTATACTCTTGATGCTACTTTCAATTTCTTTAGTTTGTACGACGGGTTTGGTCTCTGAACCTTGTTCGGGTTCGTCGCTGTCGTACTTCTTCTCCGTCACGAAAGCATACTTTTGTGCTTTGGGTTCAGACGTGTAGGAACACTGTTCGAAGTTGCCTCCAGTCTTCGGGTCCTTGCAGATGGTGCAAGTCATCCCTTCGCTTTCTTCTTTGTGACAGTTCGCTGGGTTATTGGTAATAGCTTCGGACTGAATTTCCGAGAAACTTTTGTCAATTCCGTCATCAGCGGTATAGAATTCCGGGATTTTGTACTCGTCGTACTTTTTTTCTTCTTCTTCGTCGTACGATTTCTGGGATCGCGACTTGATGTATTCGTAGGGATCGGTGCCGTCGCCTGAGTACCTCTTGTGTCTGACTCCGGCGGTTTCGCCTGAGTACCTCTTGTATCTAAAACCGTCTGGATCCTGCGACGGGGTGGAGTACCTTTCGGAAACTCCGCTATAGTCGTTTTTGGGTTCTGGTTCCACGGCGTACGAGCACTGTGTGAATTTGGCACTGCTTCCAGGATCTTCACAGACGAAGCAATTCATCGCGTCCCTCTTCCTCCGACTGTGTTCATCTTCGTCAGGAATGTGCTTCCTGATTCTTCTGCAGTTCTTGTCTTTGAGATGACTCGGGATGTTTTCGCTGGGTTGACCTTCGAAAACCGGGGCAGCCGTGCTTGCTACTTTATTGTACGAAGGGTTAAAAGGAGCCACTGTACTAATCAACTCCCCCAAGTACTTGGTCTGAACGCTCTGTTCAGTCACAGGCTGAAAACTGTATTTTTGGTAAGGAGTGGCTGTCGGCGCTTGGGTAAGTTTTTCGTAATAACCTGCAGCCTGAGGGTGCTGGGCAACAGTAGAACTAGACTTGCCAGTGTTATAGTCAGTGTACTTGCCAGAAGGAGCCGACGGCTGGTAGTCGTACTCCGCAGCGGCCTCCTTTTCCACGTCGTACTCGTGCTTCTTTTTCGCTTTAGGTTTAGCTTGAACTTTCCCAACTTCAGAACTGTACTCACCGTCGAGAGTCAAAGGCAAATTGTGAGAGATGTAAGTGGGACCTTCCGGCACGAAATCGTCTTCTTCCTGATTGGTCTTCTGCTGTGCTCTCTGCGCTTGTTCGAAGTAATCAATGGGAAAATGACCACTCTGCGAGAAGTCGGGAAACTGCTGCTGGTTGACCGCGAACCCGAAAGTCTTAGTTTGGGCGGCAAAAGGGTTCTTGGGTTGAGCGACCTCTTGTTTAATGGACGCTCCGAAATCTGAAAGGGTTTATATACAGTTTGTTTATGGAAGACGGGTATTTACCTATTGAAGGGTCAAAGAACGATGCGTATTCAATAGGGCTCGTGAACCCGACTTGACCCGGATTACCTTGGTTTGCGACTAGAGGTGCGGAGGTGTCCACCGCGTAATATTTAGAGTAGTCTACAGGGCCGGACTCGTCCTGGGCGTCTTCGCCCTCGTCGTAGTTGGTTTCGTAGTCTTGGCAGTAGCATTGTGTCAAGGTTAAGAGCAAACAAGCCTGAAAGAGCGTTTTTGAAAAATGCACCATCACGGTATCCGGCACGGTCACTAACCTGAAGAAAAATGCTTCTGTCCAGAAGCATTTTGATCGTCACCGGGTGAAGAAAAGCACGATAAAATTGATACAATTTTAGATGCAAGCATTTATATAGGTTTCCCACCACGGATTACGGAGCGACGTAACATGAAAGCGGATTGTCTCGCTTTAAGTTCCAGTATTTCTTAAAAACATAAACTAATCAACCGAAAATGATTGTGTGCACTTGATCAACCGTGACACTATGGTTTTTTATGTAATTTTTGAGATTCACGCCAGGGAGGATGCTACAACCCCAAAAAACGCGACGAAAAAATCGGAACGACCTCAGAGTACCACGTTCTGTTTATTCCAGTGAAAAAAAGCACGTAATGAATCGTTCGAAAATTCCAGTTGCTAAACCGACTCAATAGTGGCACTTTTTGCTCCTCAAAACAGCCTTGCCGAAGGCAATAATTACGAATTTAAGAATCGAGCGATGTGTTCGTACCAGTATGTGCAAAAAGGCGTTCTGCACGACCGACTGCATGAAACACGCTTTAAGAATGGATCGACGCGATAATTGTGTTAGCTTTTTGTAGTGCACCACATCTGGAAACATTTATTTACACTTACTTTCATCTGGATTTTTTGGCTGGGGTACCTCCTGCCGGAAAAAAGTTGTACCATCGAAGTTTTTGCACAAATTCGAAAACTGCTAGAATTAGTTCTACCTCAATTATGGTTTAGAAAATCGCCTGTTTTGTTCAATATGCCGTTAGATTATCGTGCAAAAAATACGAGTCGCAGGACAAAAATGATTTTGCAAAAATTGAAACCGTAAACAACTTTTACCCGGCATTTTTGCTACCTTCCAAAATCGGTCACAACTATAACGTGTGGTAAAATTCTTATTATGGTAAATGTACCAAAAATCGAACGTTGTTTTTGTGCTCTATTTTGTCAAGTGCACAATTCTCACGAAACAGCTGATTATGCTAATAGTAGTAAAAACGGTTGCTGCTTCATTTAAATCGCCACTCAGTTAGCTAAGTGATTTGCAAACGGATCAATTTCCTTGCTATTATATAATTAAATGACAATGCAAAGAAAATCCAAAAAACAATTACAATAAATAATTGTCATTCATTACACTATGAAATTGAATGTAAATTGCACGAACTCAAAGAAATGCAGGAAGAAAATTTCTTTTGTCGGTGCAAAATCGAAAGCATAACATCCTTAAGATTCACGTACAAAAACGAACAATGCTGCTGTTATTCATTGAATATTACAAAGATTTTGTGGTCAATCGTTCAATGAATCTACGAATATTTTGAATTTAACAACGAAAAATAAAACCTTAAGAATGTCTATAAATATATTTCTTGTGGTAAACTTTCCTTAAAAGGACCTTCTGTTTGTAGACAATATCCTGCAATACAATTTCGCCATAAATATAAAAATCTGGATTCAAATTGTTGTATAGATGACCCCCATTACAAGGTAAGTGAATGTGAAATCCTATATCTTGGAACGCCATCGGCGCTTATTAATTAAACAGGAATTAGTTTATGCTTCACACTATTAAGTATACAATTATTATTAACTATCGACACGTTGATTAATAAAAAAAACGTGTGCAATTTTTTCAAAAAGTTTCAATTAATACAGAAATCTATGAAAAAAATCAAACCTAAACCTAACACACTAACAAATATTTTTGTATTTATTTAATTGTGGCAAGTGATAAGCTGCGAAATCTCACTGTATGTACCTGTCCGTTTCCGCTTTCCCATTGTTTACACGATTTTTACAAGCAGCCGCGTCGAACTTTTAATCTTGAAAATATACGAGCCAAACATTTACGTTATTACTTATTTTAACCTATTTTAACACAAATATTTATCGCATAAAATAATATTTTATCAAGCGGCGGCGTTTTAAATAAAAAGAGCACCTTAATCCAGTAGACTTCCAGTGTTGTAGAAAAATGGCAAGTGTTCAGACACGCTCTGGCGGAAACCACTCTGGAAAGTGTTTTTCGGGAAAAAATCTAGCAAAATAAACAAACTCGGCACTTCCACGAACTTATAAAACCGTAATTAACAGTTTGGTTGAATTAATTTTTTTAAGTGCAACGTTGCTGCAGGTTTTTTAACTATCGATAATAATTATTACATCATATAACACTTTTGGGAATTTGTATAAAATTAATTTCAAAAATTGTCGCACCGTCTGAAGCTTGACGACATTTTCATTCCCATTTTTTATTTATTTTTGTTTTTTTTTTTGAGATGAGATCAACAACTTTTTGAAGAGTATTGTGATCTACAATTTCAAAAAAAATTAAATTTATTTTTTTGTAAAGAATAACTGATATCTTTTTTTAATGGGGTCATTAACATTCCAAAGTACAATAAATTTTAGTTACTAATTTGTAATCGTTCGATACTTTGTTACCATTTCGAAGTAATTTGTCACCATCGACCTATAAAATTTCGTGACCCAACTTTTTGAAGAGTATTGTGATCTACAATTTCAAAAAAAATTAAATTTATTTTTTTGTAAAGAATAACTGATATCTTTTTTTAATGGGGTCATTAGCATTCCAAAGTACAATAAATTTTAGTTACTAATTTGTAATCGTTCGATACTTTGTTACCATTTCGAAGTAATTTGTCACCATCGACCTATAAAATTTCGTGACCCAAACTGATTTTTTTGGAGAATTTTTAGACAACTTTTTTAGAAGTGATATTTTACCAATGGTCTCCCCTTCTTCAAAGATAAAATTGACTCTGTCCAATAACATACTCTCTAAGAAAATCGAGGGTGGGTGGGCGGGGTTTAAAATCATATAAGATTAGACTGTTTTTGGTATTTTTGACATATCCAGAAATCATTTTTGGCTTCTATTATTAGTTTTCCCTCCCACTCGACAGAAGAACATAATTAGCCCCGCCCACCCAGTCTATCTCCTTTTCACTAATTGATTTTATGCAATTTGAATCAAATGAATGACCTTAAACTGAAGAGAAATAAACTTAGTCGTTAGAATGAGAAGAGGGTGGGTGGGCGGGGCTAGTACTTGCTGAGATGAAACGGATTTTGGAAAATTACATATCTTCTAAGAAAATAAGAGGTCGGGTGGGCGGGGCTTAAAATTTGATAAGATAAGACTGTTTCTGATATTTTTGACATATCCAGAAATCATTTTCGGCTTCTATTATTAGTTTTCCCTCCCACGCGACAGAAGAACATAATTAGCCCCGCCCACCCACCCTGTCTCCTTTTCAGGGATTGATTTTCTGCAATCTGAATGCGATGAATGACTTTAAACTGAACAGAAATAAAATTTGTCAATAGAATGAGAAAAAAACTACTTGCTAGGATAAGTTTGACTTTGGTCAATAACATACTCTCTAAGAAAATATAGGGTGGGTGGGCGGGGCTTAAAATTTGATAAGATAAGTCTGTTTTTGGCACTTCTGACATTTTCGACCATTTTTCAACCAATTCAGGAAATTATTGAAGACATTTTCTCGTAGATTTTCATGTCCAGAAGTCATTTTTGGCTTCTATTATTAATTTGCCATCCCACTCGACAGAAGAACATAATTCCCCCCTTCTTCAAATTTCGGCAAATTTTTTACATTTTCGAAACTTATCTAAATACATTTTCTAGTAGATTTCGAACTCTAGAACTCATTTTCGGTTTCGCTTCTTTGATAACTGCAACCGTTTTTCCAAAATCAAACGTCGAAATATCGAAATTTCAGAAATTTTCAAAAATTCGCATTTCATGCCGATTTTTTCAGAAATGTTACTCCGTGACCATTAACATGCTATATTTGTGGAATCAGCATGTCGAGGTCTACGTTTCTGAATTTTTTCAGAATTTTTTTACGACATTTTTAAAAGTTAAGTTTTCTTCAAATTCCGGCAAATTTTTGACATTTTCGAAACTTAACTAAATACAATTTCTTGTAGATTTCGAACTCTAGAACTTATTTTCAGCCTCGCTTTTTTGATAACTACAACCGTTTTTCCAGAAGCGACCGTTGAAATATCGAAATTTTAAAAATTTTCAAAAATTCGCACTTCGTGCCGATTTTTTCAAAAATGTTGCTCAGTGACCATTAACACGCTATATTTTTGGAATCAGCAAGTCGAGATCTACGTTTCTGAATTTTTTCAGAATTTTTTGACGACTTTTTTCAAAGTGAAATTTTTCCAATGTTCCCCCCGGTTCTTCAAATTTCGGCAAATTTTTGACATTTTCGAAACTTAACTAAATACATTTTCTTGGAGATTTCGAACTCTAGAGCTCATTTTCAGCCTCGCTTTTTTGATAACTGCAACCGTTTTTCCAGAAGCGACCGTTGAAATATCGAAATTTTAAAAATTTTCAAAAATTCGCATTTCATGTCGATTTTTTCGAAAATGTTGCTCCGTGACCATTAACACGCTATATTTTTGGAATCAGCAAGTCGAGATCTACGTTTCTCAATTTTTTCAGAATTTTTTGACGACTTTTTTAAAAGTGAAATTTTTCCAATGGTCCCCCCTTCTTCAAATTTCGGCAAATTTTTGACATTTTCGAAACTTAACTACATACATTTTCTTGTAGATTTCGAACTCCAGAACTCATTTTCGGCCTCAGTTTTTTGATAATTGCAACCATTTTTCCAGAATCGACCGTCCAAATATCGAAATTTTAGAAATTTTCAAAAATTCGCATTTCGTGCCGATTTTTTCGAAAATGTTGTTCCGTGACTATTAACACGCTATATTTTTGGAATCAGCATGTCTAGATCTACGTTCCTGAATTTTTTCAGAATTTTTTGACGACTTTTTTCAAAGTGAAATTTTTCCAATGGTCCCCCTTCTTCAAATTTCGGCAAATTTTTGACATTTTCGAAACCTAACTAAATACATTTTCTTGGAGATTTCGAACTCTAGAGCTCATTTTCAGCCTCGCTTTTTTGATAACTACAACCGTTTTTCCAGAAGCGACCGTTGAAATATCGAAATTTTAAAAATTTTCAAAAATTCGCATTTCATGTCGATTTTTTCGAAAATGTTGCTCCGTGACCATTAACACGCTATATTTTTGGAATCAGCAAGTCGAGATCTACGTTCC